TAAAGGACTTCCCTGTGTAAGGGTTTAATGTTTATAACTTTGTGTTAGGTTAAGTCAGCGAGGCAATCGCTTGCTCTCTTGGAACGAAAGAGGCGCGTGGAATCTGAGACTGAGAGACCCTGCCAACAAGAAGGAGTGAAAGAACGGAACAAAAAGTACAAGATGAGGTAGAATAGAGTGCTTTTGTCCCTTAACTCATTCCTCATAACTTTTTCTCTCCGCCTCGTGTCCCAATCGTTCGCAAGCTGCTTGTGCTCTCGAAAAGGAAACCACTGTTACGAAGGCTATACGATTTTCAAGAAACACATGATAAGAATAGAATCACTTTGTCTCAGTTCCATGGTATTTAGCACTGCTGTGCTAATTGAATACTATACCTGAAGAAACAAATATTGTAAATAGAACTGAAACTTGTTTAACATCCTATCTGGCTGGAGGCTGAACATAACAGTTGGCTAATTACAAGACGTGGAGAAGCTGACTTCAGGACCACCGAACACAAGTCCATCTAGCGACAGGGAGGAAGATTTAAACCCGAGACCTCACTCCCCCCAATTTTTTTTCTTGTTTGCCTCGTGCCCTATTCGTTCACAAGTTGCTTGTGCTCTCGAAAAGGAAACCACTGTTGCGAAGGCTATACGATTTTCAAGAAATACGTAGTCGTGGTCGTCGTCTTCGACGTTGGCTCGTGTCTTAGCATCAGTTTCGCCTAACAGTATTGTCTCTTCTTCTTTGATGGCCTAGCAGGCCAATCCTTGCATAGAATTTGCGAGGGCAGTGAGGGCAAGGGAAGGTGGGCGGTGGACGAGGGGCTGCAAGGCGACGTTTTTGTTCTTCTCGTTTCTCTACGGCTTTGCGTCTCCATTCCGCTTGAAACATGGCAGTCCCGGTGGAAATGGACGGTCGCCAGCTCAGTGGATCGATTTGCCGCTGTTGTCTCCCACGTGATACACGTGATACATGCGATTAAATTGACCATTTTTAAAAAATGGTAGGCATGTTGGCCGTATTTACCTAAGGAGACCGGGAATAAAGCGTTTTAGACGGTTTTAGACGAATAATGCGACGCATTAGGACGCATTAAACGTCAGGTGAACTCAACAATGTCATAAGTCTGGAAAACCCAAGAAAAAGACACTTATACTTCTCAGAAGAATAACTCTCCTTGTCAAATACGAGAAAAATAAAACAAACCAACTCAACTGAATTGAAAATCTACTCAATCTGTAATTAAGCGAACAACAACCTCAGCTCTCACATGAACTTTATTTTTGAAAAAAACGCACAAACTTAATGCGTCTCGTATTTATCTAGACGCACTTAATGTTCGACGAATTATGCGTTTTAGACACATTATTCGTCTTCTTAAGTAAACGAGGCCGTAAGGAACAAAAAGGACTCTTCGTCATTCTGATTAACTATTTTAAACTATTAGACATTTTATATTTTTAGAAATTGTATTTAGCAGGGCCCCTCTGGATACCA